CGGAGCAATTTCCCTCCTCCATCAGCACAGATGAACAATTCAGATTCATCCAAGGACAATCAGTAATTTCCTGTTAATTCCAAACAATAATTCTGTTGGGAAACGTGGCCACTCTGACCTAACTCCCACCCCTTTGAGCTCCAGATCTCAAACACCCCCATGTCCCAAGACCCAACATTAACCCCTGCCCATCACAGGCTCATCAGACCCCACCAACTCCTGGCAATGCTTTTTCTGTGCCTCCTTCCCCCCTAAAACCTTCATCTCCTGCTTCTTTTCCTCCTGTAAACCAAGGAGTGGAGCAATTTCCCACACCCACGAGGTCTTCAGGCAGAAGGGAGGAAAACAACCCTGGGCCATCCGAGGAGGCACCAATTTTCTAGTTCTATTTTCAAATAATAATTTTAGGTGAGGTTGGTTTAGCTGAAGTTTTACACATTCAAATAAAGGAGGAGAAATTTAAGCGTGACTTCGGTTGTAGCTCATCAGCCATCGCCATGGTGATGAGGAAGCTACTAAATGGTTTTAAAGCCCTTGTGTAACCATAGACACTGTAGATTTTCCAGCCTTTTCTTATTTTATGCACTTCTGGCACAACTCTTGCTCCAAATCGACCATGCTGCCATGAGCTGGGTGCCACCTCCTGCTTTGTCAAGCCCTGGTGCACATCTCTCCTCCATGCCCATCCACAGATTTCCCTCATGGAACCAGACCAGCGTGCTTAGAACATCTTTTTGCCCCCCAAAAAATGGAAAGAAAAGTGAACTGGATAAAATTAGGTGATCAAACTGGTTCAAGGAAGTGCCCAGAGAGTGGTTCACCCGCAGCCTAAGCTTGAGTACACACTCTGCCTACCCAGAGAAGCTGGTTTGCCTGGTGCTCCACCACATGTTGCACCAGTATGCTCAGAAAATGGATCTCCTTCAGCAAATACAACTCAAAGGTTGGTGAACATCACTGGAGGGAGTTTGCCAAGCCAACAAGGTGCCACAGACTTGCTCCCTTCTCTGCCACGCCAGAGAATCCCAGACTGGTTTGGGTGGGAAGGTGCCTTCAAAGCTCATCTCGTTCAACCCCCCCTGCACTGAGCAGGGACATCTGCAACTAAAGGAGGTTGCTCAGAGCCCTGTCCAACCTCCCCATGCCACCATGGAAAGCCAGCCACCATTAATGTGCATTTTGGCTGCTTCAAATGCAACCTCCCAAAATATTTATTCTTCTCTGAAGTGCAGGTGGCACCCCAAGGAAGGGGCTGAGCATGCAGAAGTGAGACACTACCCAAAATTGTGGCTGTGAAGCCAACGGTGCCTTTCCAGAACCAACACGACTCAAAGGTCTTGGGGTGCCTGGGAACCTCTAAGCACATGGGGTGCAGCCTTGGACACAGCTGGTTCCTTTTGGCATTGGGTGGAAGCAGAGAGACTGGAGCTCAAGCTTTATTTTAGCCAAAGGCATCAAAAGCTGATGGTACAAAGCTTTTGATGCCTTTGGCTCTGCTAGAAGAGCAGTTTTGGGGGTAAAAAGCTGCACAAACGCTGCTCTTGTGTTGTAGAGGAGCTCTGAGGAAGATCAGCTTCTTTTCAGAGAGGAACCCCTCCCAGCCCCATGCCCATCCCCTCCAAAACCCAAATCAGGTGCGAGGTTGTGCAAAGCCTCCCCTCCTGTTTCACACCTGAAGCTTCATGGATCCCATCAGCACAAGTCCCAGCAGCACCAGATCTGCTCCCTGGGCCCCACATCATCTACTGCAAGCTCTAAGTGATGGTTTTGTCTCCTCTGTTCAGCAGCACTTTCAACTTCTTCACGTATCATCTGACCTTCTAACCTTCTCTGCTCCATAAAGCGTGGATGAAATCCTGCCCAACATAAACCTGTCATTGTCTACGGTTGTCTACAAGAGGAGAAACCGCCCTGCTCAAGGTCCGGGTGGTTGGACTAGAAATAACCTCAGCAGTAACTCCTTAACCACTTCAACCTCTCCAAAGTGCCCCAATAATTGCCCCCCACCCTCGCTGCAGCTTAATGAGAAGAACGTGCCCCCTCTTAGAGGAAAGTGGTGGATTTCCATGCAGGCGTGGGAGGAAGGATTAGAGCTGGAAATAAAGGGGCACTGCCCAGGAGATCCCAGCTCCTCCCTGGGTTGACACAAGAGCTTCTGGATGGCACCTGGGATTAAAACTGTGATAAATGAGAAACTTTTCAGCTTAGGGAAAGGGTGTGGTAGAATCAGCCAGGGGAAGAGGAACCCTGAGCTCAGGAGGGCTCAGCACACCACCAAAGCACAGGGCAGCCTGCAAAGCCCTCCCCACCCTGCAGCCTCCTGTAGTTAGACCCTCTTTGAGCCCTTCCATGAACATCTGCAAGGATTTCACACCAATGAAGTAAAGCTCATTAACCTTCCCCCCGCCAGGCACAGAGCAAGCCAGGAAATTTTCCTGAAAGTGCTTTTTTTAGTACAAAACTAGATGCATTTTATTTTCTGTGCCCCAAACACCGTGTATGTTAAAAGCTAAATGGCTTTCTGATATCATTCTTTTTCCAGTCTTCCTTATTAGCCATGTGCTGGCCAAAAAAAGGACTTTAAAAACCAGAAAGCTGCAGGGAAGGCACCTGAAAGTCTGACTTAGTGTCTTGCCCAAACACCGTGTATGTTAAAAGCTAAATGGCTTTCTGATATCATTCTTTTTCCAGTCTTCCTTACTAGCCATGTGCTGGCCAAGAAAAGGACTTAAAAACCAGAAAGCTGCATGGAAGGCACCTGAAAGTCTGACTTAAAGTGTCTTGGGAACAATTTCCAAACGATAAGACAACGTAGGGAGACACAAAACTTACTTTCTTGATCAACCAGCAGCAGCTGCATTTAGGTCTGTGGGGCTCCCAGTTTAACCTACTGGGCCCCAGTATGGTGGCCTCACCCACAGCACACAGGACTGCGGTGGGGACTGGTGCTGGACACAGCAGGAAGAGTTGAAATCCTTTCCTTGCCCTGTGCCTCAGTTTCCCCTTCTGGTAAGTGGGTGGTTGCAGGCCACCGTGCCACCCCTCTGTCCTCCTCCAAGTGCCACTTGGTGGCACTGTTGGAAAAGATTTCCCTGCCCGACGCCTTCCTCAGGTCGGGATGCAGAAGAAGGAGTTTCTGGAAGGAATCACGTTGCTCTTGGCATCGCAGGGTCCTCATTTTTCTTCCTTTGTTGCCTTTTCTCTTTATTCACCTTGCAAACGCTCCCGGGCGGCCTCCTCCCCATCATCAGTCACCGAGGATCTCCTCACACAACACGTCTGCCAAACCCACGAGTCCTGGGCGTTGCTGGGGCATCACCCTCCACCAAATCCCCCGGTGATAAAAATAGCTTTTTCTGTGAAATTCCTCTGAAATGTGTCTGCAGGTGGGGCCAGCTCAGGAAGGGCAACGTGTCAACTCCAGAGAAAAACATCAGAGCTGAAGTTAATGAGAAAGAGCTAAATGAAGACAGGGGCATGACGATGTAATGAGGTGAGAGATGTCTCAGGTCACCCTGCTGAAGGGGTGTCTCCTCTGGCAGATGCAGCCTGTGACCCTCGACTCTATATAAGATGGCCAAGAGTTGATGTGCTCCAGACTGTGCTCCCAAAGCTCAGAGCTCCTGCTCCTCGCCCAGGTAAGCCTGGGGAGGCTTTTCACTTTCTCTGATCTTCCTACCAGCAGGAAAAGTAGGAGCTTCTGGCCATGAGGAGGTCCCTGGAGCTGTCGCTGCTGAGCTCTCCTAAAGGACAAAAGAGAAGAGACCTGGAATCAAGTTATTCCCTGGTTCACTGGAGACCACCTCCGTTCACAGCTCTGCTCCAGAGAAAACCAAAGGGATTTTTTTCCCCTCTCTCCTCTCTTACTGTGTCCTCCCCCAGCCTTTCAGCTCCCACTGTCCCTCTCCTCTGCTCCTCTCACTCAGCCTAGTCTCATCTTTCAGATCTGTTTTCCTCTGAGATCTTTCCTGTTCTC